TTTCCAGAAAGTGATAGTGGAGATTTAGATGAGGTGCCAGGATGGAGGGGCAGTGATCCATGTTCATAAACGTTTGTGTATACAGAAGTAAATAAAACAATTAAAAGGGATGCTTTGTTTTTTCATGTCATGTCTTTAAATTCAGGAAGCCATAACCAAAATAAATACTTAAAGGGAAAAGCAGTCTGTGTCATGTTACATGCCAGCTACATGGAGAATGATCACAACTGAAGTAGCTTCCCACACACCACTGTAGTGCAGGTCTTTCTGCAGTGCCCTGCTGCTGAAGATTGCCTATGAAAGAAGCAACAATAGGATGTGACTAAATGGAGCACCAGAATCAACTACCACTGTCAAAAAGGAATGCATTTTTAAAAAATGTGTCTTGACTATTTGAATGGTTAACTAATTACATAATGCCTTTGAAATTACCTCTTAATATATTGTGAAAGTATCCAAAAAAGTGTGCATTACTTTTGGAAGTATCCTGAAAAGTGGCTGTGTTTGTAGGTTAAAACGCTACTGCATTCAAAGAGGTAATCTATTCTCTCCCATCATGAGAAATTTAATATTTCTATATTGATCTTCAAAATCTTTGGAAATAATGTTTATACATGCCCTGTAAACTCAGTTCAGAAGAGAGGAAGTTGCCATTTTCTTCTGAGATTCCTGAATATTCTGGATAATAAATTTCTTCCCCTTTTTACCCAGTGTGGGAGGTTATGTACATCAGCTCCAGAGATGACATTTCTGAGGAATGGAATGTATTTGATCATGCATTGGCTATATCAGTGACATTGGTTCTGTAACATTTAAATTTGGACTATCTGTCCAAATGTGTAGTAAATCAAATCAAAATTCTAAAATGTCCTTCAAGGAGCCATAGAACATAAAGTTCTTTATAAAGGCAACAGTACTATACTCAGCATTTCTAATATCTATTAGAAAAAGGAAACCAATTGGAAACATCTTCCCAACTTAAATTTTTTTTGAAAGTATTCTGGAGGATTGTATAGGATTCTGTCACTCTGAGTCACTTGTTGAGATGGATAATTATCAAATTGGTTAAATAAATTTCAATATAGTAGGATGTTGAAGGAAATTGGAGCAACCTGCTTCATTTATGTTTCTGTTAAGATACAATAGGGTACTAAATGACTAAAAGGTTGCTAGCATATAATGATTTGTTTCAAAGTATGTCAAACATTGTAGCGGGGTTAGTGTGTTTTTTTAGAAAAAAATGTACCATATAGGAATGTGACAAATTGGAGAGGAGGGTGCTAAAAAGAAATGTTTGGTGAAAACCAGTGAGTTCAAGCCAGATTCTTGAAGTCTGCTACATTACACAATAGCGTAATTGGTGGATAGGATTTTTTTTTTCATATTGATGGAGTTATACACTTAGTGCTTGCAACAATTGACAAGATCATGATGCAGAAACCAACCTAGAATAGGGACACCCCAATGCCATCTTAAAAGATAGATTAGTATACTATTATTAGGAAAACAAAATAATATAGCTTGTTTTGCTAATTGGAAATGAATTATGAAGCAATTATGAGCCTGAAAGCCAGCTAGGTGACTTTGGGGTCAGTCATACTCTCAGCCCAACCCAAATCACAAGGTGGTTGTTGAGGGAAAATAGGAAGAGGTAGGAGTATTTTGTTTTTTCACTACCTTGAATTACTTATAAAATAATAAAACCAGGATAAAAATCAAATTTTCACTCACAAATCTAGTATGGTGTAATGGAAGCTCTGATGGTTCCTCTTGAAAAGTTCATGATTTCATAAGTGCTGGCTGGAGAGTTTTAGTTCCTTTGGGAACTGAGGTTTGAATTATGCAGAATATTAAGAGTTTTTTGATATATCATTTCAAGGCTTAAAATTCAGAATCAGACTGTTTGATTTGTTTCGGATTACTAAAACAAAAAAATTTACAGCTTTATACCAGTTGGACCCTGATTATCTTCTATTTTGATTTTACTAAAATATCCAGTTTGAGCTATGAAAACAAGTGCCAGAGAACTCTACTAAGCTGACAGAAACCATGACAATATAATCAGGCATAACAATAGTTTGATGGCAATTTTCTGCTACAAAACTACTTTGATTTGAGGATATTTTGCAGTTAATATTTTTATATTTCATATTTTATATTTCATATTTCATTTTCCTACAATGTTAATTTCATTTAAATTATTTAGTAGCTTACCCTTTATTCTTGTATGACAGCTTTTATGACAATTACGAAAGCAGCAACAATCACATCAAACACGTATTACAGCATCAAAAAAAATCTTTAAAATAGGGGAAGTTACCTGAATTATACAATTGGGGATCAGCACTGTCCATAGTACTAACCAATGTAAAAGTTCTTATAGCAAGTCAATTACAACTGTTGGGCAATTCTTATTACTGTATGGAACATTCCTCATCAATTTATTTTAAACTAAGAGTTTGAAATTTATTAATGGTACCTCAAATTCTGCAGTCAAAGAAACCTGTAGAGAATAAAATATATTCACAATGACTTAATTCCTTCATGTTTCATGCTGCCACAATTTGCACACTTTTTTTTTGACTGTTTAAATCATAGGGTGCATTATACCAAACTGTCTTGACTAGCCAAGCAAATGTTCCAGAATATATAAATAATTGATAAAAACTACTTCTAAATGACACTGGCATTTGTGCTTCCATAAAAAATCTAAACTCCAAAGGCTCATCAAGCCATATATCTAGTGTTTTAGGCAAGAGATGATGGGAGCTAGAGAATAGAATAGAAAAGATTACACAAGATTTTTAGTATCATCTATGACTTGTAAAAAAAAAAGGAATATATATTAAAGCTTTGTTATTTTCCATTACATTTTATATGTTGATTGTAAATGGTACTAGATGTATGAATTGATATCATATTTCATCCATTTCTGGATAAAATTTGTTGAAGGGTTAGGGTTCTGCAAAAATGGCGCTCTCTTCACACAAGTGTATAAACAACAAAGAACAACAGCACCTTAGAATCAACTGAAGCCATCCAAAGGACATGGGTGCTTTAAGAAAAGCTGCACTGATCACACCTCTCTTTTGGGAGAAGGGCGGTATAGAAATTTAATAAAATAAATAAATAAATAATTTGTACTTTCTTAGTTTCAGTACAATATTTGGTCTTGCATATACTGAGTGCTCAAAAACCATTTTTTCATTAACTTAAACTGAAGAAAAAGTAAGATCCTAAATATATTTATGAAACATATTCAGGTTCTTGGGAGAATACTTAAGAATGATTGAGTTAAATTGGCCAAATATTTCCTGAATAAAAAAAATCTCTGTTTAACTCTTACAAAGACAATAGAATTGTTAGCTTGGCATTGAGTCCAGCTAGTGAATCTGAAAACAGTCACCAAAACCCAGTATCTTTTATTTCCACCAAACATGCTCCCAGCAGTGTTAGGGCAGAGAAGTTGGTGTGTCTGGAAATAGAGTGAACAAAAACCTCCCCTAATGTTTTTTGGTGGCCCAATTTCTGCAACTGGTGAGCTGTTGATGCAAAGTGGGAATATTTTTATCTATGGGTAGATGCAGCTGGGGTTTTCCATGTTTTATGAGAGTTGGGGTTTAGTCCCTTTCCTTGCTAAATGCCATTAGCCTGCATTGTAGTTTTGAATCTCAAAATAGCAGGGAAAAGATGTCACCGATTTTCAGCATTCAAGCTCAGCAGGGCTTGGGCACACATCGCTCACTCCATGTCTAGAAGATGCTAGAACTCAGATTGATAAATTGTCATATTTCAAATAGCCTGATCCTAAGAAATGTATGGCACTGTAAGTTATCAACGGCATTGGATTGTTCTTGAAATGGCTCAATAGCCAGCAAAGGGCTGGAGTTGCACAATATGCTCACCAATAACAAAGAACAATGGCTGTGTTCCTTCCAGCAACATGTTAAGCTAAAATAAATGACAGAGTGGTTTACCATAGAACAAACCTCACAGAACACCTAGGCATAATCTATTCAGTTTAGAATAGCCATTGTGATCTATAAACACAGGGTTTATAGTGTGCTTTAATATAGGGATCAGGTGTCCTGGTGGTTCTCTAACTACTGTAGTTGGATGCTACATTTGTGCCAGTTAGTTTGTAAGGCAGCCTCATATCCAAATGTGTGTGACCCAGTGGCCAAACTGATCTTTCATGGGGCTGACATTCCCACAGCTCAATTTCCATTCTCAACGCCGGTAGCTCAATGGGCTAGGTTTGGCTGTTGTTTTTACAGGTCGAGTTGGTTATGGTGGGAAGCTGAGGGGAGTTCTGTAGCGATTATGTTTCACATTGATTTTTAAATTGAATGGGCAAAACAGAAAAGTCTAAATCTAACGAAGCATTTTTATTTTCTTGCAAACTCCACCCCTGAGCACCGTGGTTTCAAGTTGGCTGGAAGGAGGGGAAAGTGCTAACTCCTCTGTTTAATACCTGCCGAGCTGAATTAATTGTCTGAGCCAAGAAACGGGAAACTGGAGAAGATTGTAAACCAATACAGAACTGCACCAACAGCAACAGCATCCCTTCTTAGGCTGCACCTAAGCGGCCGAGATTCACATTACCGATCTTTTTTCCAAAACACCAAGGTTGCGAATGGGTTTACTGACACGAAACAGCTTCGTTTCACAACGGGAAAAAATAAATCCTGCTTAGAAGAGACTCTGAACTCCTTTTGATGTCTCCTGGTCCTGGAATGGTTAGATCACCCCGGGTTGAATTTGCAAGGATTAGCTGGGGACGCCGACGGGGCTATCCGCCAATCAAACTCAAACCCGGAGCAAAACGTTACAGAATAGAGAGCAGAGCCAGCCAATCGCCGGGGGGGCCAAAAGGTGACCGAAACGCCCGCGTTGCTGCTCTCAGAGGGTTAAGCTCCGCGCCTGGAATGTGCAGTTTCTCCTCAGGCCGCGGGGGACGGAGCGAGCGGGCGGGCGGGAGGGCGAGCGCGTCAGGCGCACCCGTGAGGAATTCTCTCGTTCGGGCTGGAATGTAGGAGCTGAGCGAGGCTTTTCCAGATCGCTTTCCTGACGCGAGCGGCGCCTGGTCGGCTCCTGCTTTCTCCCCTTGCGGGCGATGGCTACCTCGGAGCGGCAACCCGGGACCTCTCCACACCGGGACTCGTGGCGTCAGACCGTTCTCCTCCTGAGGAAGATGCGCTCCGATGTCAGCAGCCTCCTGGAATGCTACGTGAGTTTGTCTACTGCGCGCGTTCCTCTGGGTGCGCGCGCGCGCGCAAGAGAGGTGTGTGTTTTAGGGCCGGGGGGTTCAGGTTTGGGTGAGGCTAGGGTATAATTGGAGAGAAGAGAACCTTGTGCTGTTGCTTCCATCACTGTTTATTTTTTTTAAAAAAAAAAAATCCCAAATGGAGTTTTGTTAATGCTATCAATTAATGAACACCATGCACTTGTTCGAAAATCGTATAATACCTAAACAACACATTCTATGATTTATACACAAGTGTGATGATACCTCAGTAAGATCTTTCATCACCCCACTGACGCCTGAAGGTAATGTGTACCTAGTGGTAACTGCAGCTCCCAAAGCAAGCTTGAGCTGCTGTATTTGGGATTTTGTTGTTTTTTTTTTAAATCTGAAGGCTGCCATCAGCTCTTTCCACCAACTCCCTTTAAAAAGCTATCTAATATTAGGGAATGAATTATTAGTAGACTGAATCATATAACTGGAATGGACAAACGCTATGCATACCGGCTTTTCCTGCCCACGGGCAGAGTCATCCACCCCCAACTGGATGCTGAACTGCAGATAACAAATCGCTCAAGTCACAGAGTAAAATGTTGTATTGTTAAACAATAACTAACAAATTAAAGACATTTCAAATGTCCTAGAATTCATGCCCATCAAGCTGTATGTGTGTGTGTGTGTGTACTCATGTGTGCAAAAAACATAAAGTGCTTCTCCCAAAGGAATGTTTTACAGTTTGTTGCCTTAGGGATGGAGAACCTACTTTTTTATCAGAGATCAGGATAGAACTGAAATAAGGGTTCGGTTTTATTTATTTTAAGGTGGGTCTGGCTTTGTCAGGAAAGAAATTGGGGGGGGGGGGGGGGGATAAAATGCCACCTTGTGGGAGACTATGTATATAACTTGACATGGTTTTTTAAACCATGACCACATAATATTTATTTTAAGGAGTCTAACAGTCACACAGATGACAGTCTTGACCAAACCAATTTCACATGGTAGGTTGTAGGATGATAACCATCATCCCAAAAATGATGGGTGGCATGGCAATGAAAAGAGATGTCCATATACCTCCATTGTAACTCGTAGAGGATGGATGGGTTGGTCTACTTCCTTTGCTGCCATGATCAGCTGATCAATTTCTTCGCATGATCATTTAGCAAGATTGAACTCTTATCAATAAATGTCCTATTGCACTCTTGAAGGCACACAGAATGAGAATGAGTTCTTTCCTCACTTATATCAGGGTTAAGGTTAGGGTATCGTGTGCCCATCCTCAAGGGCTCATCTGAAAAATAAATGATAAGATATCATGAAATAATCCCATCTGCATCAAATAATTAATTATTCCAAATGCTTACTTGTTTCTTCAGGAACAACAGTGATGTTTCTGTTTGCCTGATTTCAATATTGGGATGACAGAAGATTAAAATTAATATTACCAAATGTACTCCACTTGACCCATTCTCTAAGAAAAAAACTGTCATTGTATGTCACGGTATTGGATTCTTCAGATGCTAGACAGGGTGTGAGCAATTGGCTCTGGGAGATAATCAATGCTTTTTCAAGGGAAGGAATAACACTGCCTCATTTGAAGGAAGCAGCAGGGCCCTCTTTCTTATAGAAACTATCCCTGGACCGACCTGTGTTTGACAAAGTTCAATCAGCCTTCAACCTGCAGTTTTGGGGCGTATTTGTCAAGAATTTGGTGGGTAATCAGCTATAGAAGATTATTGAGGAGATTGGTGATTTGGAACCTTTTCATTCAGGATTCTGGCCTAGTATAGGTTAGAAACAACATTGGTTCAGTTCCTCTTGTAGGTAGCTATTTCAGGAGTTAGATGTGGCTAGTATACCTTTCTTGGTCCTTTTAAAGCTTTCAATACCACCAACTTTATCCTTTTGGAACATCTAAGGTTTGGGAGTAGGAGGCCCATTTTACAATGGTTCTGCTCTTGTTTGAGTGGGCAGTTCCCTTCAGTGACCATGTGGGGGAACACTCTAGTTCATGGAAATTTCAACATGTTTTGCCCCTAGTGGTTCAAAAAGGGGTGGTGGAACTTCTGTATTTAGTATTGCCATTCTATTAGTTAGGCTTCGACTTAGTTCCATCTGTGTTGTCCAGCATATTGGGCAACAATTGCTCTCCACCACTTGTGATAAGATCTCATTTAATTGCATCGGTTGTTTCAGTAACAGAAAAAGACGCATTTTAGTTTGCTAGGCCAATGCCTAACTTTCTTCCTTTCTTATAAAGATTTAGGACTGGCAGTGGTGGAGTTTGGGGTTTTATGGTTATGTGTTTATATTTTAACTTTATGCTGTTTAGATTTTTCCAGGATTGGGGCAGATTACAAATATTATAAATAAATAATAAATGAAACAATGTTTTCCTTCAGAATATAGCCTCAGCAGGAGGCAGCGCTTAGTTGACTCAGCTAATTTTGGAAGCTAAGCTAGTTCAGCTCTAATTAATCCTTGGATTGTTAACCATCTCTGAATGATAAAGCTGCTGGCTCTACAGTAAAACATAATGGCTTGGTTTATGCAACATTACAGACCAACGGCCCCAAACTTTATGGCTTAGAGCAGGGGTGTCAAACTCGCGGGCCGCGGACCAGATGCGTCAAGTGCTAGCTCCACCCCTGCCCAGTTTAGCGAAGGGGAAAAAAGTCCTGATACATCATGTGACGATGCAAGTTTGACACCCCTGGCTTAGAGGATCATGAAGCCATTTTTAACTTGGACGCAGGAGGTAGTAGGTATGTCTTTCATTAGCAGAGTTGAAAATCTAGGACCCATTTTCTTTGGACTTTGGGAATTAATAGTGAGACTGAGCCCTTCATTCCCATTTATATTTTACTATTTTTCATCCGTAAATCAGGCGACCTACAGTTATTGTTGTAAATCACCCAGAATCATTTAGGGGAGATGGACTATATAGGAATTCAAAAAATTAATAAAGTAAAATAAAATAAAATAAAATAAAATAATAAAATAAAATAAAATAAAAAATAAATAAAATAAAATAATAAAATAAAATAAAATAAAATAAAATAAAATAATAAAATAAATAAATAAAATAAGAATTTTGTCATCAAATCTTAGTTCTGCAATTTTAGGGTGTTTGGAGATAGTCTTCAAATTGTCGACATTTTTTCAATCATTATTTTTTAAAGTCTTTATACTTGTATTTAAAACTTATTTTGCTAAACTCAACCTATGTTGTAAAACCTGTTGATCCAAAGGTTCCTTATAGCTGAAAAGCAGTTAACAATAAATTTCTAAAAGTGATTTAAAAAAGGAACTGTGGCAGTGTCCTTTCAAATATCCAACTGTGGTTTCAGCTAGATGGTTATTTCCTTATCTCCTAGTGCTAAAATCCCACCAGATACTACTGTCTTGCAGTCTCTTCATGAGGATCAACTGTCTGAAGCACCTGTGGGTGATCTCAAGTCCTTTCCTTGTCTAGAGAGGAGTTATGGAAGAGCCTGTCCACTTGCTGGCTCTTCATTCCACTGCAGCTGTCAGTGCACCGTTTCTTCCTTGGATGTCCTGCCCCTTATTTTCTCTGTTTATTCATTTTTTAGTTTGTATTTTTTTATTGTTGCAATTGTAACTTTTAATAAAATTACTATTTAAAATCATTCTCTCCTCCTATCTCACTCTCGCTACTCCCCATCATTTCAGGCTGAGAAGCAAGATCTGGTACAACCCTTCAACTTTGAGTTGATCGATGTTGATTTGATCGATGGAGTACCGCTAGCTGATGTTGAAGAATGGAGTGAGATTTCAGATGCTGAGCGTCTGGGGAGCAACTTACAAGCTTATTGGGCATTTCAGATTCTATTGGATCAAATCTTGGAAGAGCAGAGAACTGATTTAACCCCAGAGGATGTAGCTTTCCATGAATCTATCCAATCAGTTTTGCTGCAAGTTTCTGCTTTAGCTTACCAACTGGAGGAGCTGATGGTAATGCTGAAGCACAATGTGCCAGCTAAAGAGGTGAAAAATACAAAAAACCCTGATGAAAACAGCTTATTTGAAAGGAAAATAAGGGGCATGAAGGTGCTACAGGAGCTTGCCCAATGGACCGTCAGGTCAGTCCGAGACCTTCGCAAAATCTCTACATCTGTTCAGGTATCACCCACCACTGAGAGTGACAGCCTGACTCAGGCCCAGGAAAAATAAGGATTCTGTTGGATTCTTAAAGCTTCTTTAAAACAATGTCTCTCCCTCGTTTATGGTATTTAGATTGAAGCAGTATGGCCAGTCTGAGCATGCGGAGAAGATTGGAATGAGTTCTCCTCCCATCCATATTAGTCTATACAGGATGCAGCCCATTCCTGAGTGGTGAAGAATTTCAAGAGTACCAATGCTACTTGGTGACTCTAGGCTTGTAGTGTTGTTGTGCTATAAGGTTTATTTGCAAATAGATGCAGGCTGAGCACCAGATGAGTATTCATACTATTAACACTCCAATGGATTCCTGTTTCCTGGGAGTTCTGCCAGGAAACTCTCGTTGCCTCTGTCTAGTTCCAGTCTAGACTAATTCTGTGCTTCGTACATACCATTCACTAATCTCCTCCCCGTGATTCTTCAAGGAGGAAAGACCCATCCTCTTCCATTGCAAAGTCATTGCCAGTGTGTTTCTGGTTGCCTTCTTCTTTGCTGAGAACTTAAGCATGACTAGCAACAGCCCCTATGCTAGCTTTTAAGGGCCACTGCCTTGGGGCAGTTATTTTCCAAGTATGGTCCAGGAAGGTCCATGTGGTAGTGTGTTGCAACCTCCCCATGCCCCTTCAGCCCAGTGGTGTACCTAGCATGCCTGATGCCCAAAGCAGATAATTTTAACCACCTCCCTCCTCTCTCACCAAGAAGTACTTTGGTGTAGGGTCCTGTCATAAGCATGAAGCCAGCTGGGCCACTCACTCTGTCGTACCCTTAGGGAGAAAGCAATGGCAAACCACTTCTGAAAATGTTGTAAAGGGAACTTGTCAGAGTCAAGTCTGACTTTAAGGCACACCCTTTTCCTTCATCACTGCTGCACCTGCCAATTGTTATTCAGCAGATTAGCATGTTGGAACGGTAACCCAGATCCACACCTGCAGCTTGCCTCCTTGTCATCTTTGGCAGCCCTCCCCTTGTGTCTTACCTGGGGGAGAGAGTGGGTCATTCTCCCACCCTTTCCATAGTATTGTTTCAGCCAGGCTTCTGTCTAGTTGAGTGGTCAGTTGACTTTAATCAATGTGTGGATGGGTGGAAAAGGTCAGATTTGCCTTGACAAGCCACTCATCGGAGTCAACTTTCTACTTAGCTGCTGCCTCAAGTAATAAAAAAAATACCTGATTTTTGGATTACATTTTTGGTACAAATTTAACTTTTAAGAGGCCTTTACAGTAAAAATGCAGGGGATGGGAAATAATACAATTATATAACCATAATTTTATTTGTCAAAAAAGGCAAGGTTCCATATTCTTAAGGACAAAAGCATAAGGAGTCTTTGTTTAATTGGATGATTATCACATGTTCTCTGAATTGTTTCTTCAGATGGCCATGATTTCAGAAAGTCTGAGAAACACAGCCCTAGGGCAACCATACTGAGGCCCTCTTAAAGAAAGCCTTTAAGCCTCCCTCAACAGTTACAAGCAGAGTTCAAGTTTCCACAGTGATGAGCCACAGTGGCACAGTGGTTAGAGTGCAGTACTGCAGGCTACTTCTGCTGACTGTAATTTGGCAGTTCAAATCTCACCAGGCTCAAGGTTGACTCAGCCTTCCATCCTTTCGAGGTGGGTAAAATGAGGACCCAAATTGTTGGGGACAATATGCTGACTCTGCAAACCACTTAGGGAGGGCTAGAAAGCATTGTAAAGTGATATATGTAAGTCTAAGTGCTATCCTGTGAAACCTTAAAGTGGTTCATTAGATTTTGGTTTAGCAAGTTGTGTAAATAAGCCATTGTAGTTTATAAGGTTTTCCCAATAGCATTTGAACCTACCAATTGTGGACTAGTTAATAAACCATGATTAAACAAACTGTGATTAAATAGGAAGGAATTGGATTCAGATTAATCATCTTTTATTTTCATTGCGTAATTTCTTTTTTTGAAAGTTCAAAAGCAGATAAATTTAGTTTAGTTTACTTTGCACCTCATACAACGAAATTAAATGCAATCTTCAGTGTACACCATACATAAGAAAACTATAAAAATAAAACAAAAACACACATCCTTCACATTCTATAAAATTGAATTGAAAACCCCTGATGCTGCATTAATATTACACTACACAGTAGAATTCAATATAGTTATTGCTCTGCTCAGTCTATTTGTCCTTGTTTTTATTGTAAAGAGCAAAAAGTAAAGTCCTTTTCTTAAGGTGGAAGAATACAGATTAATGCTATTATTGAAGCCAAAATGATCAAAGTATATAGTTACATTTCTTTTTTTTTTCCATTTAGCTATCCTAAATGCATAACACAATAGTGCCAAGGTTGGCATTCAGGAATGTTCCTTTGGGTCTCTCCTTTCCATTCTCATCAGCAATAGGCCATGGTGCTCAAATGGGGCACAAAAGAAATAGGTGTATTTTTAAGGATATTAAATCATTCCAAATTCTAGTATTTAGTATGAAGGAATTTGGCCAAGAAATCATTTCTCTAAGTTTATATGCAGATCAGTTTCAGAAAACTATAACAAAATAAATAGGATTCTATAATATTTATAACTCTACATGCTTAAATCTGAAAAACCAATGGAAGTATGTAGTATAGGATTGAGGGCTGTTTTTCTTTTTGGGGCAGAAATCTTTATTCGGTGACCTTAGACAAATATAGGATTAAGTAACAACACTGATGCAGTGCAAAAACTGATAGACATTATTTTGTATGGTCAAAATTAAAACAAATTATTTTAAAATAGGCTGTTCTGTAATATAATATATTTGTGGGTATGTTTTTTTTTTCCACATATAAAATAAATAAGCAAAAAAATCATTAAGCAAAAAATTTCAGTTCTACGAACACGATCAACCTTAATTTGGAGAAATTAAGCATTTGGTGACAGAAAAGAGAGGAAGAATAGAAAGAATGTGAATAGAGAACTGTAATAAAGGCTATAGCAGTTTTGCATTTGTATTGTACTTCCAAGCAACCATCTATTTCATTGCTCAAGTCTTCTGATTTCCAGATTAAAATGAAGACGCAATAATTGGCCTGTACTGACAATACAGGAATGTACTGGTTATTTTAGGACACAATGGGCATGATTATGTCATGGGAAGTCTGCAGCACTGGCACCCAATTGATGGGCAAACAGAAAGGTGTCCTTCCTGGCAACAGAATGAGCATCAAGATGACTCAGCTAATCAGGGTTAATTTGCTGGCCAGTGAGAAGTGCACTGTCTGTGCGCTCAATTTTGCTTTGGGGATAAAAAATCTCCTTTCTCTGGAAAATGTTTTTTTTTAAAAAAAAAATTAATCTCATGACAGTGGAAAGCTTTTTAGGTTGCCATCTTTAGCCACTTTACTCATTTCTAATGTGCATCATCATATTGGGAGACTACAGATTGGGAAGTAGGGCATCTCCTCCATAATGTCTGCTTGGAATGCCCTATACCAGTGATGGCTAACCTTTTTGCCGTCGCGTGCCAAAAGCGGGGGGATTGTGGGGGGGGGCGTGCCCACACCCATAATTCAATGTGCCCCACCCACCCCGTGCATGCATGCGGGACCCCTCCCCCACTCCCCCCGCTTTTGGCACAGTGGGCACGGTAGGCCCATTTTTTGCCCTCTCCAGGCTCCAGAGGCTTTTTTGGAGCCAGGGGAGGGCGAAAACAGCCTTCCCCACCCCCCCCGGAGGCCCTCAGAGGCCGGAAATGGCTAGTTTCCCAACTTCCGGTGAGCCCAGAAGGTTAGAAAATCAGCTGGCCGGTGCGCACATGCGCGCTGGAGCTGAGCTAGGGCAACACTTGCGTGCCCACAGATATGGCTCCACGTGCCACCTGTGGCAGGCGTGCCATAGGTTCGCCATCACGGCCCTATACCGTAATGCTCAGCAACATTGGAAATGGGAGCTCCTTCTTTGACAAGACCTGTCAGGTTACAGCAGAAGATTCCGGAATATAGAACTATAATAAGGCTCTGGAATGACACAAAATGACTGCTAGAGGAAGGAGTAACTATTTTATCTATGATGGTGACAGTGTCTGCCTCCTTCCCACCCCACCCCACCCCAAAAATTTGGAAAAGCGTTTAGTTTTCTGGGGAGTGTAATTCCCTTAAATTTTGTGAGTTGTTTGCTACTGTGAATAATGATTGTGAAGGAAAGCCAAGTTGCATGAAAAACCACTCTCTGAATAGTTGTCCTCATTGCAAATAGTGATTTAAATTTATATTCCCTTCATTGTCATGAAGGTGAACATCCAAAATCAGGACAATGGAATAGATTTTGTACAAAATTTGTCAAAAGTAAGACTCCTCACTCCCACATTGTTGGGTGTGTAGGATAGGGGGGAAGGAGCAAACAATTCTATTTATTTTTCCGTAAAAGCTCTGGTCATCTAAGCTATGGATGGGGGAGCTTGGGGGAGGGGATCACTGGTTCCTACGTACAATTTATACTTAATGTTCTTTCATTGGGTTGAATCCAGATTTGCTCTTCTCTTAATGAAAGATACTTTGGCTCAGATTCTGCTGAAGCTCCCACTAAAAAAAATTGAGAGAATTTTTTTTTTTAAGTTCCCCTTTTATAGTCTTCAAAGCTGCCTCCCATATGATTTTGAAATGATCCCACAATCTTCCAGAAAAGATTTCCAGCCAACCTAGAGAGGAAGATGGATAAGGAACTGATGATAAGTACTCCTCCTTCTTCTGCCAGTAGGAATACCCAGTTTCAGAATTGTGAAATTGGCAGATCTAGAACCTGTACATTGAAGAAACATGAGAAATAATTATTTTTTTCCATAATGGTGTCTGCCTTATCTCTATACTAACTTGAATGTTTATTTATCCTCTTTTAAAACAATGTGAAGTGCTTCATTTGGCATGCTTGTTCAGCTACTGAAATATGCAAAATATGTGAAATGTAATCATTATGAGTGATTCCTTATTTTTGTACTGTGAGCTAAATTTCTGATAGAAGAAAATGTCTAATAAATGTTAAATGTGGTATCTTTGATTAATGGAAATAATACTGACAGATTTCACTTGTAACATAAAGATATAACTAGTTTGATTGGTTAAAATAAATACTGGTATTTTATTAAAATATTAAAGAGGATACTGTATGATCAAGTAGCACATTATTTTAAATTAATTATATTCAGCTCTATCAATAATTGCCTGTAGAAAAAAATTCCTTCTCTCTCTTCAGCTCTTATTGCTCTACTCAAATCTGTGGTGATTCAAGAGAAGAGGAGAGGCTGGAGAACTTCCCTTTCCCAAAAGGAAAGTAATTAATGTTTGGATACTGCTGAATGCATTTCTTTTCATTGGGGTATGCTAAAAATTGTGGAAAGCAAATGTCACCTTAGAAGAGGCATTCTGCTTTTACATGCACTGGAAGGAATGCCTCTTCTCAGACTATGCTAGCTGTGGCACATTTGTGTGTCAATGGATGTTTTGTTTTGTCTCAGAGTGATAGTTTCATAGATATGGAAATTTACTTCGTGATTAACTCGTATTATCAAAAAGGTTTTATTTGGACAAATCAGAGAGCTATTTATCGAATTATATTGAAAATTGTTCAGAGATTTAAAAAAAAATAAAGCGTGTTATTTTAAAGCAAAGTATTTTCTTCATTTTTTTGTAGTAATTATTCAAATGGTAAAATAAATTCAAAACATGGAATATTTCAGGCTAATCAATTATAAGCATTGGGAGAAGAAAACAGGAATGCAGCTAATGGTGCTACCAGCAGAGAGCAATGATAACAAAAACTTTCAAGCTCACCTTTTTTACTTTTAGAATTTCATCCTTCCTGAACATTGAATAATGCTGGATAATATTTCCTGTACATTTTATTCCAAATCAAAAATTGCCCAAGGAATCATTGGTGAACTTTTGGGCCAAATGACAGTGATCTCTTGACATTTCACCAGCAGTTGCTTCTGGCATCTTCAGAGGCAGAGTAAGGAACTGATTGGTTGAACTGGCGAGAGGATCCATGGTTGATCCACGCCATAGAATCCAAGAAAGCTGGTTCCTGATTGGTTCAAAATAGACAAAATCGTTTCAAAATGGATCAGTCAGAGGAGGAATCAGGGATCAGCTTATCAGATTCTAATATAAAAGCTTGGTCAACCCATTTCAGTTGCCTGTGAGCATCTGAGAGGTATACTACAAAGCAGCTCACTCTGTCTCTGAAGATACTAGACTTTGAAAGTGCGAAAAAAAAGTAAGAATGGGGTGAGGCTGGTGCCTAGGTGGAAATACCTGTATTTGCAAACCATTGCTTAGGAGAGGCGTTTCTATAGCTGCAATTACGTTTCCTGAGAATATATAACAATTACAAAAGAAGTTGAATCCTCTCCTACTGTAGTCAAGTTAGCCTGTGGTTCCGATCTTTTATTACTCAGCTACAAAAATTCAGATGACCACCAGATGGCAGCAAAGAGATTGAGAGTTTCATCTTCAGTTACCTAAGAACAGCTTCTTAAATCTTGGCAATTTTAAGATGTGTGGACTTCAACATGCTGGCTGGGGAATTCTGACAATTGAAGTCCATACTTCTTAAAGTTGCCAAGGTTGTTCTAGAAAATACTCAGCTGGGGAAGTCTGCAGCAAAAAAAAAAAAAATGCAAATCAGGCAAAAGATCTGGGAGAACAAAAAGGTCAAAAAGTTACTGTTGGAAGATTATTCAATATGGGAAATTCCAATGTTGGTTTGTTTCTGTTTGGGTCCTCAGTGTTTTTGAGCTATTGCCATTCTGTAAATTATCCATCCTATCCAAGATCTTCATAATGTAGTTTCAGACAAAAGTCCTTTTCAGTAAAGGGCATTCACAATTTTAACTGGAAATTTCTGCCACAGTATTACTGGCTATTTCCCTCTGTTTTGTCCATTATTTCATTATATCTTGCGCCCTCTCTTTCTCTCTCCCTCCCTCTCTCCCTCCCCCCTCTCTCTGGAAGATAGCATTAAATATGGTTTCCTTTCAATATTTTTAAAATTAAGATAACTATATTTTGTAATTAAAAATTTTCAAACACTCATAAGGTTCCCACAAGAACTGTGTGAGTATGTGTGTGTGTGCAGGACAGGGCAGGGGAAAATAAATATCAAAGCACTGTTGTAACATTGTTGTTCATGGCTGGGAGGTCAATGCAAATAAAAGTAAAGACCAATTGGCTCATACTTCTAAAAACTTTTCTACATCAGTCAACTTCTTTTCTTATGGCTTCTGAAAAGGCTTCATTGAAAACTCACCTCTTAATTAGCTTACATCCCCTGCATGGGAATTGCTTAAAATGGTCTATAGCAGATCTGATCATTCACAAAACAAAAATGAATTACAGTAGCATTTCTTAGCAAAATTCCTCCATATGTGTGTGGGTCTGTGTATGAACATGTTAATAGAGATAGGCAGCTGGCATGCAATTTCTTGCACATTAATAGTAGTTTGTAGAAGAGAATAATATCTGGAACAACATGTTGAAGACAGGGAAGAAAACACACAGTGAAACTGAGCTTTCTTGTGCTTTATCCACTCCCACTTTATGTGTATTCAGTTCCCATCCATCTCTCTTTAGCAACTGGAGCACAAGGTAGTCTTGATTGATTAAAAAATGAGTTGAAATAAGCATTGAGTCAGAGCCAAGTACATGGTGAACTTTGCCGAGAAACCTGATAAAACAATGAATGACTATCTGCTTGTGAAGTAGACAATTTGGGAAATAACATAGCATTGACCTAAATCTGATTAGCTCTGTAAATGTTCCCATGGTAAGGAATCTGATTCAATTAAATAGGTCATTTCCCATTCAACTTTGTGCTTCATTCTTGCTCAATTGTGACTGTGCAGCAGGATCAGGGGAAATTTTTGTGGCTGAAGAACGCACTTAATTTTGGGGATGGGCTTGAGAGCCATAATGATGGGTTCGTGATGCAGACTAGGAGTGGTTGCGAACTGTCAGAACTGGAATTTTCAATTTCTTGTCCCAGGTTGATGTGTGTGCTTGAGATTGCAATAAGCTTTCATTATGTTGTACACAGAGGTGGCAGTGTATTCAGCAGCTTCTGACCAGAGGTGGGTTTTACTTACCTTTACTACTGGTTTGCAACGGGTCCGCGTGCACTCGCTTTGTCTACGCAATGGATCTACGCATGAGCAGATTGTCATTTATGACATCTGGGCGGGTGGGCGGAGCCTCCCGCCAATTTTACTACTGGTTGTATAGAACCGGAAAGAACCGGGAGCAGTGGTGAAATGTAAAATTTGTTACTACCGGTTCTGTGGGCATGGCTTGGTGGGGGTGGGGGTAATGTGACTTGGTAGGTGTGGTCAACTTTTTTAAAAAAAAAAACTTTTAAAAGCATTTTTTCTACAACCTCTTCGGCCACATCGCTACCGGATCGAGTGATCTGGTCTGAACTGGGAGCATTTCACCCTTGACCGGGATCAACCCACCACTGGTTCTGACCAGTTCTGGAGAACTGGTAGTGGAAATTTTGAAGAGTTGGGAGAACCAGTAAATATCACTTCTGACTGGCCCCAACCCCATCTATTCTCTGCGTTCCGAGTCCCAGCTGATTGGGAGGAAATGGGGATTTTACAGTATCCTTCCCCTGCCATGCCCACCTAGCCATACCCATCAAGCCACGCCCACAGAACCGGTAGTAAAAAAATTTGAATCCCACCACTGGTTGTACAATACACATTTATCTATTTTCCCCTTACAAAAGGGCAAGGTTAATTCCTAGGAGCATATCCCTCAATTATGGAAAGCTGTCTGAGTTCTCCAAAGAGAAGGCTTAGGGGCTATATGAAGTCCTGAGACCTTGGTTTTCCCATCACTGCTTTATTGGTGAGTTTCCTTCAAAAAAGCATTATAGGTAATCCTCAACTTACGACCACAATCGAGCTCAAAATTTATGTTAAGTGAGAAGTTTGTTAAGTGAGTTTTGCCCCATTTTACGACTTTTCTCGTCACTTTTGTTAAGTGAATCACTACTAATTCTTCAATTAGTAACACGGTTGTTAAGCGGATATGGTTTCCCATTGACTTTGTCAGAAATTCGCAAAAGGGGATCATGTGACTTTGGGACACTGCAATTGTCATAAATGTGAGCCAGTTGTCAAGCATCCCAATGAAAACCACATGGCCATGCGGGTGCTGCAACGGTCATAAGTGTGAAAAATGGTCATAAGTCCCTTTTTAAGTGCCATTATAACTTTGAATGGTCATTAAATGAACTGTTGTAAGTTGGGGACTACCTGTATCTGTACTTCTCATCTCATCTTAAACACATCTGGTGTCTCTAACTTACCACAAGCATGTTTCTATTTAGCTACTTACAATTTTCAACTATTCTAGTACCAATTTTCTAAGATATAAGTAACTTAAACAAATATCAACATAAGCCAGAATTGTTCCTGTCTCTGGAAAAGCACTTATTCCTTCTGTCTTTTCAGAAGCAAAATTCTAGAGAAAAGAGTATAGGAGTAGTAGATAACCTATTATTATTATTATTTTTTAAATCATTATTTTTAAAAAATCACTGTTATTCCAGCATTTCACCTTTTCCCTGAAGTTGCCTTTTTATTAATTTGCTTGGTATGGGAAGTCTTGTGGTATGCCGCCCAGAATCAGCTTGTGTGAAATGGGCAGTCATATAAATTTAGTTAATTAAAGTCTTCACATCTTTGTCCAAAGATTGCATCAGACAGTTCTAGGCTTGGTTTCTGCATTATTTCCCTAGATTCATTGCAACAGGAGAACATTTGTGGTATTTTAATTTTACTTCATCATTTATTTTTGGACAGAAAATGCTGTTGCATTGGCAAGCCAAGTATTGGAAGAGCTTATAAAGGAGTAAAGATCAAGATTCCTTTGCGTTGAGTTTAGCCTTTTATTTTATTTTTTTGGCATCCATGGAAGTAGTTTGCAATTGTCCTCTTTCAGGACCTTTTTTCAACTTCCTTATGCAAATTACAGCTCTGAGATACCCCTCCAAAAGCTAACCTAGCCTGACCCTACTTAGCTTTTTTTGAAAATAGCTACAGTCAGCTCATTATTGCCATCTGCTGAGCTATCTCCTATTTAATGGATAATGTTTCTCATTTGCAAGTCCAGTTAACTTTTATTATAACTGAGGCTAGGTAATTAAAGCATTTGAGCAAGCTGTATGTGTTGAACACACAGCAAAATATTAGGGAAAGAGGAATTGCCATATTTAGTCTAATGCTGAGTAGAATGTTTTCATATTCTGATCAGAGGTGACTGTTTCAGCTGGCCTGTAACTATGGATAAATGCCTGATTGGGTGTGACACTTAAATTAACTCAAGTTCCTCTTTTGATATGAGTTCATGTCTATCTATACCTCAGCTACAAGACTAGACTGTAAAATGAATTGTAACTCCTCTCTATTCATAATTTGGTTTGTGTCTCAATTTGCCACACTGAAATGCAACAGTCTTCACAAATTGGAGGGGTAAAGCTAAATCAAACCCCCAAAATTATTTAAAGCTTAGGGCAGTGGTGGTATTCAAATAATTTAACAACCGGTTCTCTGCCCTAATGATTTCTTCCAACAACCAGTTCACCAAACTGCTCAGAAAATTAACA